TGGACTCCAGGGATGACAGCAGAAGGAGGAAATGGGAAAATCTAAATAGCAGGTTTCTTTACATGAAAATCATTCAGGTTGGCTGAGGCTCCTAACCAATGGAGGATGCAATCCATAAACACTGCTTATTAGGGATAGATAAATGTATTCGCATATTGTTTCCACATAAATTTGCTCCCCCACAAAGTCGTCATAAATAGTCATATATTTCTTAGTATGCATTTTTGTGCCCCTTACTAGAGCTAAAGATGGTAGTGCACACACTGGTACCCTCAAGACTTTACATTGCAATGCACTGTACATTGGGCTACCTCTGTACCAAGTTGAGAAGCTTCAGCTAGTTCAAAACATGGCAGCCAGATTGATTACTGGGACATCTAGGAGTGATGACATCACATCAGTATTTGTATTGCTCCACTGGCTGCCAATAAATTTCCAGGCAATGTACAAAGTGTTGGTTACTACATTTAAAGCCCTAAATGGTTTGGGTCCAGGTTACCTACAGGATCGCCTCCTCCTATATAATCTGTCCTGTATGCTCAGGTCCTCTGGAGTACATTAACTCCAGTCATCCACAACTAGGTTGGTAACTGTCAGCCAGAGGACTTTTTCTTCAGCTGCCCCTAGACTGTGGGAAAGAGATTTGACAGCTGAATATGCTAGCTGAATTCAAAACAGCATTAAAGACCAGTTTCTTCTGGCAGATGATTTTTAAATTGTAAATTTTATATGATGAATTTTAAATATGGATTGTTTTAATATGTGTATATCTTGTCCTTTTAAATTGTATGCATGCCCTTTTAAATTGTATGCATGTCCTTTTAGAATAATAGAATCATAGAATCATACAGTTGGAAGAGACCACAAGGGCCATCCAGTCCAAATTCATGCCATGCAGGAATTCTCAATCAAAGCATGCCTGACAGATGGATGTGTATTTTAACTGATGTGTTTTAACTGATGGTGTGTATCTGTTAATTGTTATTGTTTCTCACCTTGATTCATGGGGAGAGGTGGGTAAGAAATCATAATCATCATCATCATCATCATCGTCGTCATCATCATCATCATCTTGCTGCCTCATCAAACCCTGCTTCTTCCTTCACAGCACCTTCAACAAAGGCTGCTGGGAAAAATCCACAGATGAGCTGCCTATAATCCATCTCCTGGTCTACTAGAAGTTACATAGGGGGGATGCAGACCAGGGCATCCAGGACGCCCTGGGATGGTGTGCCGCTGGAGCGAGGCAGCCACACCGCGGTGCACTGGCTGCGTCCCTGAAAGGAGCGCAAATAGTGCTCCTTTCAGAAGTCAGGGAAAGTGCGCCCTAAACGCGTAGGGCACACTTTCCCTGACTTTTCCGCCTCAGCGTGTGAGGACGCTGCGGCAGGAGGTTGCCCTGGGAGCGTCGGCCATGCGGAGGGCCGGCAGCTCCGAGGGCAACCTCGGGAGGAGGAAGGGGCGCCACGCATGTGGCTGCCCCTCCTCTTTCCTGCCTCCAAGACAGCTCAATAAGCCGTCTGCCGAGGCTGATAGTCCTCACCCCATGCTATTTGCTAAGTTTGTTTCTGCTTTGTTTCCTTATACCTAATTATTTTTAAGAATGTAGTAGTGTGGCCTGTACATAGACTATAGTAAAGCTTTTGATTGCATAGATCACAAAAAGCTATGGAACACTCTTAAAGACATGGGAGTGCCAACACATCTGATAATCCTGATGAGAAATCTTTAATTGGGAAAAGAGACAACTGTTAAAACAGAATATGGAGAAACAGAATGGTTTCCAATTGGCAAGGAGATCAGGCAAGGCTTCATACCCTATTTATTCAACCTGTACACAGAAAATATCATACAAAGAACAGATTTAAACTTAGGAGAAGAAGGAATGACAACAGGAAGAAGGAACATCAACAATCTCAAATATGTGGATGACACCATATTACTAGTAGAAGACATCATAGACTTGGAACAATTACGAAGGAAGTTCAAGGAAGAAAGTGCAGAAGCAGGCTTGCTTCTGAATATAGAGAAAACAAAAATAATGACCATAGAGGATCTACATAAATTCAACCTAGACAAAGAGAAAACTGAAATAGTTAAAGAGTTCCTATACCTTGAATCAAACATTGATTAGAATAGAGACTGCAGTTAAGAAATAAGAAGACTAGGCATTGGAAAGGCAGCAACGAAAGAACTGGACAAGATTCTAAAGAGTAAAGATATACAACTAAGCACTAAAGTTAGAATCATAAAAACCATTGTATTTCCCCATCACCATGTAGAGATATGAGAGCTGGACAGTAAATAAAGCAGATAAAAAAAGAAACCCAATTCATCTGCGATGTGGTGCTGGAGAAGAGTGCTGAGAATTCTGTGGACAGGCAAAAAAGACAAACAAATGGGTCCTTGAATATCAAGCCTGAACTCTCCCTAGAAGCCAAGATGATCACATTGAGGCTGTGGTACTTTGGCTACACCATGAGAAAGCAAGACTCAATAGAAAAGACAATAATGCTAGGAAAGGGAGTAGAAAGAGAGGAAGACCCTGTGCCAGGTGGCTACATTCAGTTAGGAAGGTCATGGGCCCGAATCTGTAAGAACTAAGCAAAGCAGTAGAGGATAGGGAGGCTTGGAGGTCTCTCATTCACAGGGTTGCCTTGAGTCGAGGTTGACTCAAGGGCAGTTAACAACAACAAAATGCTCTGGTGGCCTATCTAGTATGGTGGTGTCCAGAAGAGATGGTAAGAAAAGGCAAGGTGCTGCCTGAAAACAAGCACAAGGTCCACTGAGTGGAAAGCAATGGTTGGTAGAGCACTCTCTGTCTGCAACCAACTTATACCAGGTTTGGTCTGAAGAGGAGAGACAACATGGTGCCATTTCAGCTTATTTTGAATAGTGCTGCATTGTACAGCTGCAATAATTATTTCTGGAAACTGTAAGTGAAAATGCATCACTTACAGCTACCTTTGGGGGTTTGGGGTGGGGTATAGAGTCTCCTCCACCTCAACAAACATTTCAAGAACATTTTAGGCATTTAAGATTTTTTTTTCAACTGAAAAACATTTTTCTTTGGCCAACAAAATTGATGGGGCCAGGGCCTTTGGGGTCTTGGTGATAGTCTTAAGAACCATATTAGATCTCTTAAAGGGGTATGTATGGCCCACAAGCTACAAAATTGTCAGCTCTCATTTATACTTCCTCAAGCTTCTTTGGAAGCCTTTTCCATCAGTACTAAAAGACTTTAAGAGACTAGGTTTCTTGACTGCAACTTAGCAGACCCCTCCCTTTCTATCATTTCTTTCAAGTGCTTTTCCTTCATTTCTGAAAGTGTGAGGCCTGTCTTACTGAAGCTTTCAGCCATCTGCCTTCAGAGATCTTTGACAGGGGACTTCTGGTTGTTAACATTATTCATTGCTTTTTGGGGAAGGCAGTTGTATTTTTGGGGGAAGGGATCTTAAGGCTTGATAAGAGTCTGGCCAAAAAACCTGGAAAATTCAGTACTCAAAATGTCCTTCAAATTAATTCTAAATAGCAAATGTTACTCATTACACTAAAAATATTAGCAAGTGCTATTTTATTACTTATATACCTTATGAAACAAAATGCTTAGCCTATCACTACAGAAATAAAGTAACTCATTGTATGAAACTACATTGTAACTCATTGACTGAGATCCTGCATTGTTTTTATGGAGTGTAATGCTAGAAACATGTGATTCTGTACTTCTCTCATGCCCTTATTCAAGCCATGAGGGAGCACAGTTATGGCTATTTACTAGCCTGATTGGGGAAGGTCACCTCAGTGAGAAAGAAGCAGGCATCTCCGCAGTGAGGTGGAAGGGAAATGAGGTCACTCTCCCAGATGACCTTATTTCTCTTCCCCTTGCAGCTGAGAGTACCACTGTTTTGTTGCTCAAGTCTATTTTTCCCATCCGAGCTGATAAACAGCCAAAGCAGATGCTCCTCAGGGGCTTAACAGCTGCAGTAGTAAGCTTTGGACAGTGAAAAGACTGGGGCTTTGCAGAAGGTGCTTTGCGCTATCTTCAAGTCAAAGAAGGGGAGGGGCAGCCGGACACTGGGCACCCCATCACCTTCCTGAGGACGTCATCGGAGTCCCACCCTTCCACACGATGGGCGCTCTGATGACATCCTTCTGGCTCAGCATCTGGACACTCTGAGCCAGAAAAGATGGAAAAGAGCCGCATGGCAGCTCTTCGGGTGCCCCTTTCACAGCTTGTGGAAGGAGTGCTATTTTAGCACTCCTTTCCCAGGTGGTGAAAGGGAGGATTGGGGCTGAGGCATGGGGCAGCCTCAGCCCCAATCCTCCACTTCTCAGAGCAGCTCACAGCCGCCCATCTGCATCCCCCCTTAGTGAATAGCTCTCTACACCCTATCTAAAAGACTCACATGGCCCAGAATGGATTTCAGCCAATATTTACAAGCCCTTCTCAGTTTCTCCATTTATGTGTCCCAATATCACCATGATCCAGCTATATTCTGATATCAAATTGCTGGAGGCCAGCAGAGGCTGCAGAGGCTGTGATGACACTATAAAACACCAGAAAAGGTAGAATTGTGAATATAGCATGTAGACCCTGGGCATGTTGAAGGTTGAGAACAATGGGAGAAGGGGCTTGATGGAAGATGCATGCCACCCCCATGCTCTACATTTCTTACAGAAAACAAATATCAATAAGACCATTTCTGGCAACTAGATCAAATGAGACCAGACTCCCTTTTGTCCCTTATGTGTTCCTAAAAACACATCCTGTCCAGTCATTTTGGGGTACTCCAAATCTTGTTGGAGTGTTGTTAAGTCAATGAAACTTTGTTGTTGCTGCATACCTTCAGGTTATTTCTGACTTATGGAGACCCTAAGATGAACCATTGGGTTTTCTTGGCAAGTTTCTTCAGAGAGGGTGTGCCATTGCCATGCCGTGAGGCTGAGAGAGTGTGACTTGCCCAAGGTCATCCAATGTTTATCAGCCAGATGGATTTCCATGGCTGAGCTGGGATTCGAACCCTGGTCTCCTGCATTATAGTCCAGTGCTAAAAACTACTATGCCATGCTGGCTCTCTACTATCAATCAAATTAGTCTTTTTAAAAATCTTTTGGATATCAAAGCAAGCCACCACTTCAGGAACCCTTTTGGTCCTTCTGAATGGATATTAAGTCTTTGTTTCCCATGAAATCACTTTTGCCTGAGGCTATTTCTAAAGTATAAATATGACCAGGAAAAATTAGACCCTTTGCTGAAGTGAAGTCTAACCTCTCTCCCCTATTTTTCTGGTGGCTGTTGCCCTCAGACTCTTGGTCTGAGCCACACCTGCTTTGTATGGACCATTCTTCAGGACAGGTAGATATTATTCTTCAGTCTAAACATAAAATGCTTTCGCTTTTCTATTTTGGTTACCTTTGTATGCTGGGTGTTAGTCTTTCTTGTATGTGTATGCTTTCATATTCAGCCTCGGCAGACGGCATATTGAGCCATCTTGGAGGCAGGGAAGAGGAGGGGCAGCCACACGTGCGGCACCCCTTCCTCCTCCCGAGGTTGCCCTCGGAGCTGCTGGCCCTCTGCACAGCTGGCACTCCCAGGGCAACCTCCCGCCGCAGCGTCCTCACACGCTGCGGTGGAAAAGTCAGGGAAAGTGCGCCCTACGCATTTAGGGCGCACTTTCCCTGACTTCTGAAAGGAGTGCTATTTTTGCGCTCCTTTCAGGGACGCAGCCGGTGTGCCGCGGTGCGGCTGCCTCGCTCCAGAGGTGCACCGTCCCAGGGCGTCCTGGACGCCCTGGTCTGCATCCCCCTATTCTTTCCTAATAAAGAGTAATTAGTTCACTCATGCCTGAATTTTCATCAGTGAGTACTGGTATAGTTAGTGCTTTCAATCCTGACATTACCCCTTTCTCGCAAGCCAAACCGAATTTCCCCAACTTATTAAAGATAGACTGCTACTAGTGTGGAGACTCTCCAAGCCTATACATGTTTGTGGCCAACACATTTTAAAAGAGATGCTATTGTTTGAGAAAATGATTGGAGAAGATAAGAGTATATATTTCAGATAAATAAATTTAATACAATTTCTCATGAAGGACAACCAGTGATATCTAGGAAGCTCACAAGTTGGCCTTGAAATGCAACTACCCATCACCACTTATAAACCCACCACCCCAGCACACTGACTCTGAACCTTCATGTTCTCATTTGTCCAACCACTAAAGCTAATTACTTTGAATTGAGGTTTTTGTGGTTTTAAGGTTTGTAATTTTATATTGTTTTTAGCTAATGGTTTTAATTGTTTAATTGTTTTATTGTAATATGTTTGTTAGAATGTTAGAATTTTTATTTGTGAGCTGCCTTGAATTCCTTTCAAGGGAGAAAGGCAGCGTACAAATCAAAATAAATAAATAAATAAATATTGTTTTAATATTTAAGATTTAACTCTAGAAGATATTTTATAAAAGTTCACACACACACACCTGCCCCCCAAATTTAGTTAATTTTTCTTTAGACGTTCTGGTTAAAAGTTTAACTAGTTAAATTCGGGACAATCCGCAGGAGCCTTCTAGGAATGATGGGCAGCCTGCTCATTTCTTGCTTGAATTTCTGCCCCAAGAATGCAAATAATCAGGATGCCCTGGGATATTTGCATTTCCCATACCTAGGGATAATTCCCTTTTCTCTCTTCTCTTTTCTCTTCTGCAAAAGCTGAAAAAAGAAGTGACAAAAGTGTGTGTGAGAGACACTAAGCTTAGAGAACACAATTTGCTTAGAGTTGTGTATAGCAAAAGGCAGGATGGCTCTCCTGGAGCACAGAGGGAACTGATACCACTGAATGAACCTTCTTGGGGTGTGCACAACCCCCCTCTCCACATGCCTTGATTACAGAGTAGCCAGTTGAATCATTTTAATGAGCTCTGACTACTGCTATGAGGCATGAGTAACTATGGCAACTTCCTTCCAAGGTGGCACACTGTGTTAGTGTGTGTCTCAGTCACAATCTTGTACTTGGAAACTGGAAGCTGATTGGAGAAGACAAGGAAAGATGGCAGCCCTCTGGGAATTTTGGAGTCATTTACATTGGTGATTTTGTGGAAGAGCGACAGACAAAGTTTGGAAGGGCAACAGGTCTCTGCTGTTACACACACACACACACACACACACACACACACACACACACACACACACCACCTCAGGAGATGATCCATCTCCTGATGCCTTGGGAGGTTTAGCACTTAGCCCTTCACTGGACTTGGATTCTGATCCAGATATCCATAAGCTCATACTGCTAACACTATTGTCTGTGAAATTCCATCACTCAGCTTAAACCAGCGTTTCTCAAATAGTGGGGCGTGCCCCCCAGGGGGGGTGCGAG